TGCAAAAATCAACTTTTATTATTATTTTATTGCCATGTTTCATAAAATATGTCGAGAGTCGATTAGATAAGGCAATGATAGTACCTCCTTCAGTACAAAGAGTGATTACAAATTGCGATTCTTGGAAATGTCTCTCGCTTAGATAATCGCTATTCTAATCAGATTATATACTTAGTTTCCACTTATAAGCTTTTAGGGACATAACAAGCTTCCTAAAATTTGGTGCTTTGATTTTATTTATCAATTTTTGTTCATTGCAATGCAAGACCAATTTATAACTCCTCAACTTTGAACCCAAGTGTGGCCTTTTGGTGGTGGTGGTGGTGTAAAAGAGTATATGGTTAAGTATGCATAAATCAAAGTCTAAAATTTGAATTGGATCTTGTTTGAAACTTGAAAGCTCAACGGGCTAAACGTAAAATTTGTGTACGGGATCACAGCAATCTTGAAATAAACATGATTTTTCCAAAAATAATAGAAATAACGTGTTTTATTTACATATTAAGATTACAACAGCTTACAAAACAGAGCAAGGTAAATAAAGTAAACGTTAGAGTGAACAAGTAATCTTCCACTTGAAAACCTATTTTTTTACTTAACTCAATCCCAGTCCTCAATAGCACCGTTTTCTAGTACTAAAAGTAGCGCACTAGTTTTTTTTTCGATAATCTGTTTTGTTTTTGTCAAGCTGAAGTCTAGCATAAACCCCTTTCCTCTGAGACCAAAGGAAATTTGAAGAAAGTAGGCCGGTTTTGTTATTCATTCTTAATTAACGATGATTGTGAACCAAATTTTTCTGAACTTGACAATTTTGTTACAGATATTACTCAATCGCCTTAGTGCTTCTAATTTTACGCGTGGTTGCCAGGAAAATTACCCACGTTGTATTATGAAGTGAATATTCATCAATGTCACTATCATTAATGTTAAAATATTGCTCATTATTCCAAGCGTGAGAAGCGCGATGGGGGTTTTCGGAGTCTATCAAAATTTTTAAGTGTCGAAAATTATTAAGCATTATCAATTTTTAATAAAATTACTACTAATAGCCGAGGCTATCAGAATTTATCTAAAAAATTGTTTGAGAATTCTCAAAATTATCTAAATCTGTCCCGCTTCTCCCTTGGAATAAATAAATTGTCCTTTGAGTTTTCTTTGCTTAGGAGTTTTTTGAGACGCTAAATGTAAGTTCTCAAAATGTGTAGCGTTGCGTGTTATTTTTCAATATAATTGTTGATTGTCGATTTGTAGTAACAATATCATTCCTAAGGATGCGCCATATTTCACAGACCCTAGAATTTCCCGAGATTTCGCAAAAGTTGCTAAAGAGAATCCTCGAAGATTTCCAGAGATTTGTAACAATTTATTAAGATTTGTAACAATTTATTAAGATTTGTCGATTTGCAGTACAAATCATAAACGTTTCCTCTTTTCTCTTGAGGCAGTGGCGAATCCTTGGGCAAATGTTAGTACAGTGTTGGTTGGGTATCTTATTCCAGTACCCCCATGTTGCACGGGGATACAGGGATTCTCCCCCGTACAAATTTTGAAAATATAACCACGAAAAACGGTATTTTATGCAATTACCAGTAAATTTACCAAGTGTTTGTTGTAGCTATTAGTCCCTTAACACTTTGTCAATGACACTTCCTCTATGACTTGACGACACTGTGGTTTTAACCGGTAAGACGCCACCCAACCGAAGAAGGTGCAGCGAATTGCATATTCTTGAAAACAAAAAGCTTTTGTCAGTGCAAATCGCGCAGAGCCTTTAAGGCCCTATACGAGCTTTGGGCCTTATATTTTTATTTTATTTTTGGCCTTTATTTTTAAGTTGACGGGTTTTCAGCCAAGGCTGCTCTACCAACCCAATCCACTATACATTTACAAATATCCATGCCCGAACCCGGATTCGAACCAGAGACTTTCAGTAACGCAGTCGAGCTTCCACTCCTCTGCACCACACGAACCATCAGTTCCAAAAGTAAGTCTTCTAAAAGCGATACCTTTACGAATATTTAACGAGTCTCTGTAATTCTCCAAAAAAGAGTTCTCCAGAAACTCAATTGGCCTTCCCGAGACGTTCAGAGCCTTTAAGTTCTTTAAAGCAATTTATAAGAGCTTTCAAAAATCTGTGTCTTCTAAATGCTGCTATACTTGAAAGGTTTTTAAGACCTTTTAATGATCGTTAATACGGTTTAAGAGATGTAGCTTAAAGAGGCTTTAAAAGTCTTTAAGATTTTAGAGAGTCGCAGACAGTTTCCAAGAGTCTTCCAAAAGCTTTTAAGTTCTTAAAATTATCTCCCCTCAAGTAGTTTTTAACAATCGAGCTTGTAAGCGCTTTTTGATAAGTTTTAAAAGTCTTAAAGTGCTTTTAATGCTATTATTAATGTTTAAGAATATGCAAGAGGCTTTGAGAACAATGTAACAGATGATCTTTTTGGGACCTTAAGGATCTCGATGAGTTTTCAAGTTACTAAAGAGCCTTGTAAATGCCTTTAAGACTGTAATACTTATCAAGGGTGTTTAAGAGTTGAGCTTTTAAGAAGTTTCGTGACACTCTCTAAGATGATTTAACAGTCAACAGTCTCAAAACGTCTCTGTTGGCCTCTGGGAGGCTTTTAAATTATTTCAGAGTCTAAAGCCAGACTTTCGAGAGGTTTTACTTAGTTTTGAAGAGCTTTTTTAAAGGTCTTTCGGCTTGCTGAGGGGTATTTTTGGTTTGGGTCAATTTTGGTTTACTGCTTCGATGTTTTTGAAATTCAAACACGATGTTTCTTTTGGTAGTTTATCGAATTTACATTTAGTGACTCGGGGACCGCCTCTGATGTGTTTCTCCGTAATCCGACATGAAAATTTGACACATATTTACGTAGGAATAATTTCTTAAAATATGCAATTGAGTTTTAAGCACATCCTTTTGATACTTAACGAAAGCACAATTTTATTAAAATTAATGGCCTTTTTAATTAGTTGCATTTCCATTAAGTAACCTACTTCACCCGATCATCAATGAATAAAAATGTGTGTAGCCGTTTTATCAAAACTAACTTGGGTACCTACATAACAATTTGTATTAAAAAAAACTAATTGGGTATTATTCAATAAACAAGATTAGAAGTTATACATACATACCTACTAATATTTTTCGACAATCAAGTGGTAAAACTCTATGAAGGGTATCTATACTGGCGTATCCCTTCACTAGACGGTACCCTTACAATTCTGAGCACGTGCACCGTCCAATTGGCGTGTTTAACTTATAGTTCTTATGGCTTAAAACTTAGAGTAACAACAATATAGAACGTAATTACAGTTATAGGTGACCTTCAAAACATTTACTCAAATTAGTGTGTACAAAAACGTAGGTAATTTATGGTCAGATGGCTTAGCTTTTCTTGCCCTGTAAGAGATATCTGGAGGGCAATTAAGCAGAACTTTCTGTAAAGTACCTACTCAACGGTAGGTCGCAAAGCAATGTTTTCAGAAAAATTGTTTGGCTTCGTCCAGACTTTCCCCTTTTCCTTTGTGACACTCCGTTCTTTAGATATTCGCAAATTGTCAATCAATTTTTATAGGTATACTTCCACTTTAGAGAATTTCTTAATCTACCCATCTCATATGTTGTCGAGCGCCTTTTCGTCCATAATTTCTGTTTTTATGACTCATTATCATTGTCAGTCTTTCTTTGATAATGAAAAAGGTTTTTCCTTATAGATAAGGTAGTACTTAATGTAGTTTCTCTCCGAGGCATTTCTTATTGGGTCACAGCTTCGAGGCGTTTTCTGAATTTTCCGAATTATGTTTCTGCATTTTGGTCAATTTAGAAAGGGCGCCCAAAGCTATAATTTGTTTAATAAAAGAGTAATTTAGCTAATTTGTTTCCCTCATTAAGGGCTTGACCTAGCTATGTATTTGAGAACGATTTTTCCAAAATTCCTACTCCACAAAATCCGAGAAATTCATTCTTGAACGTACATATAGCCATAATATAACACACTGTATTATACTATGATGTAACAAATCCAAACTTGCGGTTTTTGAGACTTTCAGGGATATAGTTTCAAAGAAAAATGTTTATTTCATTAATTCCACTGACGTTCAATTTTTTAATACTTACCTAGCAATCTGTCGGTTCATTTTGATTTAAAATCGTTCTATAGTTAACACGAAGTATATTCTTTAGGTGGCGATTTGGTAGCATTTGTAAATAAGGGTTTGTGTAATTAGTAAATAAGCAAACTTTGGAACGCTATAGACATGCCATTAATCGACTTAAAGAACTCCTTCATCTAGTTTTCCTAGCAAATAGTCTTTTAAAATATAGGTATAAAAATATTAATAGAGGTTATACAGGGTGGCTTACTTGTCGTGCACAGCATTAAGATCTCCGAATCCTTTAAGACTTACAATGGAAACAAATCTGTTTACTCCATGTTTGTTTTTAGCAAACAATGGATTTTCCAAATGAATTTACACAATGCACAACCAAAACCATAAAATTTCGTAGGGGAAAAAATTTAGTCTAATTTCTGCGAAAATTATTCCTGAAGAATTCCGACAGAAAGATGGCTGTTTGAAACCAGCATTTTTAAAATGTCCTCAGTATTAATTTTTCGCCAATAAATTAAATGTTTAGGTGAACACCTGTCAAAAATTGTGGCCAAAATCATAAAAAATGATTCTCTACTGCTGTTCGTCTGTCCCTTAGTCCGAGCTTCCCCAACACAGGTCCTAGAGGCTTTAGAACTACATTGGTCCAAAAAAGGATCGTTTTGAACTTAGGTGAAAGGTCGTCAAAGGTCAAACATTTGTAAGATCCTTCGACACTCCATTGTATCGGTTTGCATCATTCAACCTGATTTAAGCGTGCTAATAACACAGTTTACCTTGCGTATGTAATCAATTACATGAAACAATTCTCATGGCCGTTGTCATAATTTTACAAATACCGGACTGCAGCTTCCGATATACCTACTAATAATGTGGTTTTTTTTCAGTTGAACGTCGACGAAGGTTTAACATAAATGACAGAATAAAAGAGCTGGGTAGTTTACTTCCGAAAACAAATGACCCTTATTTTGAAATCGTACGAGACGTTAGGCCCAACAAAGGAACGATCCTTAAATCTTCCGTAGAATACATCAAATGTTTAAAAAATGAAGTTCAAAGATTAAAACAAAATGAAGCGAAACAGAAACAAATCGAACATGTAAATAGAAGACTACAACTCCGAATACAGGTACGCTTGGTGTTTTTTGAATTCGCGAATGTTTTAGTAACGTTCATGTGCTTTAGGAATTAGAAAGACAAGCCAAAACTCATGGACTCCCGGTTTCGGATTTCAGCTGGCAAACATTATCTCCTAACCCATACAGTGTATATGGAAAAAATCAAAATCAACCTATTACTGCCAATATAATGCCATCACTACTTTTACCTGAAAGAAGAAAGGTGCGTTGAATTAATTCTCATAACTGAAAATGTAGATGTGTGGATGAGTGTATGTTCTGTTCTTTCATATATTTTTCAAAATCTGTAAGTGGTTGTGAACTGGGTAAATGTATAGTAGACCTTTTTCCACAAAATGTTGTATGGTATGCCTTCTGCAGATGCCAGATGTTATAACGGATGCCGCATTGAGTATCTCAGCGATGGAAGAATTGATGGATGACGAAGAACCAGTAAACAGAGTCAATGGAGATCCGATGCTTTCATCACCTCACGCACTGACCGCTGACCCTTTATTATCTTCACCTGCCCATCCCAGTTCTGTGATAGATCCTATGTTGTGCGACCCTCGATTACCATCTCCCATCAGTCACATGGATCCCGTAGACGGTGACACGTTGGATATGGACATGATAGCATGATATAATACCTAGTCCCTCTCATCCTTACCTTCAGAACTGGTATTATAGAATTATGAAAATTTGTTGATATTCACAAAGTGGCATCATATTTCAGCGTTACTATCTACACAATTACTATTAACTGCCCAATTCATCATATGTGCTAATGTGTACGATACTGGCCACTTCTTCATTTCTCGCAATACACTAGATATTTTTATCGCAACGTCCCGTACCATTAAATGAAATGTCCTCGTATATTTATGACAATAATAATTAATGTCTGAGGCGTAATTGTTCGGGTAGTAATCGTTACAATCGAACATGGAAGTCTTTCTTGTCCAAATTTGGATAAACTAACAAAGAGACCAACAAAGTAGACTGATATGCAACAAAAATTTGTATAACAAATTTTAAATTAAAAAAGAAAGCTTTATACGTATTAGTATTTTTTTATTATTATTTTTGATCAAAAATTCCGAATCCGGAACACGCAAATGATCCGGGTTTGGCGATGACAATTTCATTCATTATGCCTTCAGTAGACGGATTAGTGTTCGAAATGTTATTGTCATGTTTACGAGATTATATTATTACCTATATTAGTAAGTTTTTGTTTGTTTGTTATGCAATTAGTGCAATGTATTTAGCCAAACTAGTGTGTATTACATATGATTGGACATTAGTTTGTGTAACCGTCAGTTAGTGTTAGCGAAATGGTTTTCATTCTGATTTTATTTAATGCATCGTTCGTGTATAGGTACTACAGGGTGTCTCGTCAAAGATTCATGCTTATGACTATAGCGCCATCAGTATTTTTTAATTTAGAATATATGGTGGGTATGGAAAAGAAAAAAGGAAACCAATTTCCTGACGATATTGCCTAGATATTAATTTTACGAACTTATAGCAATTTTGGAAATTGTTCCAACTTGATTTATAGATAAGTTATTTTGGAACTTAAAAGTTTATACCTCGGCGTGCCGCTTGTTTTATACAGATAGAAAATGTGCATAATAATTGGCCTAAGGTTCTGCCATCAATCACAAATTAATATTGTAATGGCTACATACTCCGTTCTGTATGTACTGTCCAGCCTTAATTTATAATTAAAAATTATACACAACTGAACAAATTGACAAGAGAACTGATCCTGTAGGGGTAACTAATCTTAAATAGACACGCTGTATACGCTCTAGCAACCAGATTATGTAAACCATTTCGCTTGACCTAGATGTGTAGATTACAAGGTTTTAAAATATTGTTTATATTTTATTCCAACTTGTATCTATTATTTTTTAACTTCTAGAAAAGCCTCAGCGGCATTTTGTATAGATCTACTATATTTTTGTAAAGCTACATCAAAATTTTGTCTCAACACCAGCAATAGACAGATGGCAGTTACTCTCAATGCCAAATCTTAATACCACTTCATTTAGTACCTGCGGTCTAACGTAAAATTGAAAATGAATGACACCATATATAGTTGAAATTTGTTATTAAAGTGAACTTTTTTTAGTATTCCGGTTAGTATTAACATTGTGATAACAGATTTCAAAAAATGATCATCTGAAACCTACTTATAAACAAGTTACCTGTGTTACCAAGAATTATCTATATACTATTTAAGCCAAGATCACAGAGTAAAAATCATGAAAAAGTTTTTCATGTTATTCCGTGATTTCATGTTTTCTAGTAGATTTTGTTTCTTATGGTGCTTAATGAATGAAACGACTTTGTTATATCAGTGCCAGATTGTTAATGTTACAGGGTACAATATCACAAAAATTGTTTCAAAATGGAATCTAAGTGAAATTAGTCAAAATATCAATTTTTAACTGGTATTTTACATAAAAGATTTGTGATTTTAAAGATTAAGGATATGTTACGGATATGCCTATTAAATACATAAATAGAAATATCCTTACTCTTGATTAAGTATATGTACATAAATAAATATATATTTAACTGTTTTTCTTATTTGTTATTGGCACAAATTAAACGGGCACTCAATAATTGTTCTGGTAGTAGTTGGCTGTGGTTTTCTCATTCGAGCGTGAACTTAAGGCTGTTGATATGTTCGTATGGTTTGATGTCAATGTCATCAAAAAACAAAAACGCATATTAATTTTGAAAAAATCCAATTTTAAATTGTAAAAATGCACAAAAAAGTATGCAGCAAGAGGGAGATTCACCGCTGTTATGTAATCTGTCTATAATGATTATTGAACCCCGCTAATTCAAAATTTCAACGATCAGGATCAGATAGTGTCAAGGAAATTAGTAAGTAATTACTACGGCTCTCTACAGAACTAAAGACCGGCCAAAGTCAGTATTCTCCTTTTCGTTTAAATAAATATAAACATTTTGCTCGTTTTACATTTACACATTTCATCAAAGAAGAAATACTGTGGGGAGAGACAATTATACAAACGCACTTATTTAGTAGACAATTATTTAGTCGCGCTATTTAGTGGCGCTTCTAAACTTTCACACGTACTCAACTAGCCAGACCCCCATCCGGAAACTATTCGTCCAAAAATGATAATCGAGATAAAAATGCACACTATGTAAACCCCAGTACAGTTCGAATAGAAGTCTGTCGTTTTTACACTATAACATTTCATTTTAATTGAATTTCCCTCTTATGTGTGGTCCAAAAATTCTTTATATTGGTGTTTTTGTGTGTTATTAAAGGCGTTTCTTTCTTAAACTTCCTACATTTAAACAGGTCTTGGTTTCTTTTATAAAAAAAGAAGAAATACTGATTCATCTCCAAAGTTGGCATACTACACTAAAACGTTTCCCTGTTCTCACACCGAGCAAATGACTACTAAAGGACTTGTATTCTCTATGAATATCCTGTACGCCTCCGATTTGTAGGATGCTTGTTAAGGGAATCCTGAGGATAAAAAAAAAGAGACTAAAGCCCGCCTCTCTGCCAGCGTTCTTTGCAAATACTGGCAGTTGTTAATCCTTTCTCTTAATATAGAAGCATTGCGGTAAGAAATTCGCCACAAAAACACTTCCAAATCCAGAAAGAGTGTATTCCCCCACTGTATGTTCAAATTCTACAGCTCATACCGTACCTAACAATATTTTAAATGCGAAATATAGTGAATCTGCACAAAGGTTCACTCAAGCCATCATTAACTTTTGCATTGCATCTTTTTATACCTCTCATTGAAAAGAGCAAACCAATTTTGTCGGCAACACCCATTATCAATTAGTCATTTGTGTGTATCTAAGCAACCATAATTAAATGTCGCTGATTGTCAATGTCAGATATTTTTGAAAGCGGCGTACGAAACTCAGTTTGTAAACGAATAACTGGTGAAAGTAAGTAGAAATTATATCCGAAATACTAATATTTACGCATTTCAATTGTTTTAGCTTATCGCTGATCTTAAAAATCGAGATTTAACAGAAAATTGGAGCCCCTAATTGGATATGCGTTGCCCATCAGTAGGGGATGTTGTGGCAGTAGTTTGCATGGGTACTATCTTTGTCCTTTTAGGACTCTATGGCTATTACGTAATGGTACCCGTTCTTAAATACCTGCCTCTATATGTTGTTTCTGTTATTAAAATAACTCACGATATATTTTCAAAGGAACCGTTGAGAACTTTCGACTCAATGCTGTTGCCATATATGTTCCATCCAAAGGTAAATGAAAAAACCTATGCCACAAAGAACCTACTTTCCTGCCCAAAGAAAGGTAAATATGTTCAGCTTGTGGTAGTGATTCCATCGGCACCATATCGCGAAAGTGCTCGCATGTCCATAAGACAGACATGGGGACGCTTTGGAATTAGAAAAGATATATCGATATTTTTCTTAATTGGCAAAACGTATACTAAAAAAACTGAGAAAAACGTCGATAAGGAATCGCGCCTATATAAAGACATTTTGATGGGAAATTTTCACGACAAATATGAAAACTTGCCCCTTAAAAGTGTAACTATGTTAAGATGGGTAAGGGATCACTGTCCGTCAGCCAAATATCTACTGAAAAGCGATGACGATGTGTTTGTTAATATACCACGTTTGCTTAAATTTATAAAAAAATTAAACCCAAAGAAACGGGCCATTTATGGTCGTATACACAAAAACGCCAAACCCGTTCGCAATCCTAAAGGAAAGCATTACTTACCCTATAAGGAATACAAAGACAAATTATTACCGGACTTTGCCAACGGACCGGCTTACCTGATACCTGTCTCTGTGGTAGATGAATTATATCAAGCTACGTTGTACCACCAAATAATTAGACTGGAAGATGTGTTCTTGACTGGCATAGTAGCCAGTAATCTAGGCATTGAAAGAATTAACAATTACGAATTTCGATCTGAGATTACCAAGTTATGGTGCCTTCTTCAAAGATCTATTGCGATTCACAAGGTTCCTGAACTCAAGCTATATGAATATTGGGAAGACACTTTTTATGCCAAAAAAATGTGCGACAGATTCAACTAAATTTCTTTACTTACTCACTAATGTATTCTGTATTATTATTAAAAATAGTTGTAATTGTAAACTACAGTAACAATTCCAATAAAGCTTTATTTTCGTACTGATTTGATTTTCATAGACTTTTTAGCGCATTTTTGCAAAAAATTTTTTTTGTAAAAAGTAGCTTTTAATCTCACTTTGGCTGGCTGGCTGGCTGGCTGGCTGGCTGGCAGCAAATGTGGGCGCGTAGAAGAACTCTTGTAGAAAGGCAACGGGTGTACGTGTATCTACAGGGCCGTGAAATTTGTCAACCTTAGGGACATGGCTACATGATGTGGGGTTGGCGACATCTGGGCGTCATCCTCGAGCGTAGTATACTAACGTGAAGGTTTTTCAGTTTTTTCCTATCTTCTACTACAGTTTTGGTCCGATTCTTTTGAAATTGGTGTCGTCGGAAAGATGTTGTAAACGCGCACAACTCCTGCGTGGCGGAATTTTGTTTTTTGTCATAGGGGCGAAATTAACGACCTTTTGCGAGGCGGCGCGCGCGTCTTCGAGAAGTAGTCAGGCGCCTTTTACCTTCCGTTGCGAACTCACGCGGTTTAACGTTTCGTGAATCTCGAATCGCTGTCTCTCTTTCTCGTGTCGCCAATAGAAGTGAATTGCGAGTGAACGGGACGTCGGAAGTGGGTACCGTAAAAGAGAATGTGGTAGCCCGCGACACGATCTCACTGATGGTGGAGTCAAATCTTCAAACGCGAATTGCGAGTGAACGGGACGTCGGAAGGGGGTACCGTCAACGGGAATGTGGTAGCCCCCGACACGATCTTCCTGATGGTGGAGTCAAATCTTCAAACGCGAATTGCGGGTGAACGGGACGTCGGAAGGGGTACCGTCAAAGGGAAATGTGGTAGCCCCCGACACGATCTTCCTGATGGTGGAGTCAAATCTTCAAACGCGAATTGCGGGTGAACGGGACGTCGAAAGTGGGTACCGTAAAAGGGAATGTGGTAGCCCGCGACACGATCTCACTGATGGTGGAGTCAAATCTTCAAACGCGAATTGCGGGTGAACGGAACGTCGGAAGTGGGTACCGTCAAAGGGAATGTGGTAGCCCCCGACACGATCTTCCTGATGGTGGAGTCAAATCTTCAAACGCGAATTGCGGGTGAACCGAACGTCGGAAGGGGGTACCGTCAAAGGGAATGTGGTAGCCCCCGACACGATCTTCCTGATGGTGGAGTCAAATCTTCAAACACGAATTGCGGGTAAACGGGACGTCGGAAAGGGGTACCGTCAAAGGGAATGTGGTAGCCCCCGACACGATCTTCCTGATGGTGGAGTCAAATCTTTAAAAGCGAATTGCGGGTGCACGAGGAAAGTGGGAAGCGGTTACTGAATGTAGTAGCCTTCGACAAGATCTGTTATTGATGGTTGAGTCGAAAGTGGCTAATAGAATACTGATCTGCCACACAAAAATGCGCTGAAGTCACTTCGATCTCAAACGAGGACTTTGATAATTTTTTAGGTACGAACTTGTTTATGGGTTTTCTTTTATAAATTCCATAGAAATTTAAATCTACTGCTCAACTCAAGTGACTGTCTCTATTCCGGTGAATCTGGAATATTTACTTGGTCTCTTAACTTGAAGGGCAGATGTCACATGTAGACGTCTTAGGTTAATGAAAATAGTAATTTTGACAGGTAAGCTGATGGCTGCTCTCCAAGTTCAGAGACCTGGGGGCAAATATCCCTTATAAACAAAAAGAAATGAAACCGTCTCGCGAAGTAAACGTTTACAAATGAGATGGCCTCAAATAATAGAATTGGATTCCTTCCTTCTTTACTTCCGGCCATAAATAAAATAATAAATCACTTTACACTACAAACATACAGAGTGTGGAGACCCTTTGCTTTTAAGCCATTCGTTCGGCGGTTATGCGAAACTGTCGTTTGTATTAGGGTCAAGAGTTTTTTCACTAATAACGGCTCGTATAACTATATCTACAATCGCGCGGAGAGAACGGATGAAAGATTTTTCGAGCACACTTCTCTCTGGGGAATACTGAAAACTAATTGGAAACAAACAAGGAGCTAAACGGCGATCTTATTAAACGCCCACGCAAAAATATATTTCTACGCCTATATGTCACATATAGGCAATCATTTTTATCTTCATTGGAAATATTTAGTAATTTTCTTGTACTGTGATTTTGCAAACCAAATGTTCTCCTCTAATGTTAAAATACAATCGTGGAAATTCGGCCTCGAGAACCAACTTGTACTCGCCTTATAATCAAGTCCCAAACAGTGCCCTATAGAACTCTAACTGTAAATGGACAACGCTAACACTCGATACAGAATTGAAAGTAGAGAAAAATAGAGTTTTCATATAAAAAGGCGAGGAGAACCATCTCCTCAATAAAAACAGCGGAGAGGTGCCAAAATCCAAAAAGTATCCGAAACAATTGCGGAAATCGAGCCGAATCAATATTGAATCTCGATGGAATTTACCCAAACAATACAGTTACCTAGCTTATACGTAAATGGGGGGGGGGGGATGCAATTTTACCTTGGTGAAGCGTTTAGCCAACTTGCCACTGTTCAACCAAGGCTCTTGGTAGCATTTCGATCAATCAATCATAGCATGTGCTCTCCATCTCTTTCACGGCACGAATTCTGCATTTCCTTCCCTTTCCCTTTCTCCTCATTTCCGCATCTAAACCTCGCTATTATCTTAATATTTTTCACCCTTATCAGCTTCATGTACACACTGTTTTCTCGTGACCACCCTCTGTTGCTGTACTTGTCTATCAACCTCCCTTTTTGTCAGTTCAATTTCCATCTTTTCCCCTATTCCTCCCATCCGTGTTCATTTTCCATAGCGTATTTTTCTTTGTTCCCCCCAAATTCTGTTTGTGTTCATCCTTCTTTCACTAATTCACTTTCTTTCTCACTCCTTTCTTAGAACCTTACCAGCCCTGCTTCCTGGTGATCTCCTTACGCCCACTTCCTTCATCCCAAACCTCATCATTGCCCATTTTCCGACATTTAGTTCCCATCTTCCTCTTTCCATTCTGCCCATCATCTTCTTCATCTATTCTACCATTGTTTCCACTATCCTTCCGTCTTCCCATTGCTATCAATCCACTTTGGCTCATCTCATTTGTAAATCCCTTTCTTCCATCCTTCAGGCAGTTCCCTTCCTTTTCATATTCTTGTTTAATAGTTTCCTCGTCATTTTCCTTGACACTATCTTTAATTGCTGCTCATCTCATCTTCTTCCACCTCCTCTCTTGTTACCTCTTCTTCCTCTTGTTTTTGCTGTACCCAAATAATGTGCTGCCACTATTTGTATTTCTCTCCCACCGTTATATTTGTTTAGCATTTTTCAAAAATCCTTTTGTTTTTATTTCCCTTATTGCTTCTTCGTATTCTTTCTTGTTTTTCTTTACATGTCTTTGTACTTCATTCTGTTCCCTGAACTCCTCCTCAATCTCGCCATTTTTTTCCATTATTATTTTGTATCTGTTCTCTTTTTTGTACATTCTCTGTCCCATCATCCCTGTCTATTATCTCTCCCTTTCCCTTCATTTAACTCTTCCCGCGTTATTGCCTTTATTATACTACTATTCTCCTATTTCTTCTTTTGGTTCCTCTAGTCTCCTTCCATACAACTCCACAGTGTCTCTTGTCCATAGCTTATCTCCCTTCGTCTTTGCATCTTTCCATTTCTTGATCTTATCCTCCCTCACTCAATTCTGCTATTCCTTCCAGTATTTTTCATTTACTATTGTGTAATCAATTACCTCCTCTCTCTGTCCATAGCTCCAATTCAAATTCTCCATCTCCATCCCTTCTTCCCTCTTTAATTGTTGCACTCTTTATCTCTTGATTTTCTATCTAGCGTTCCTCTTCCTATATCTATGTACTCATTTTCCTTAATTTCATGTATTAACAAAATCTCCCCATATAACCTCTCCTCCTTCCTTTCATCTGCTATATTATTTTATATTTATAGTTAACACTCTCATTTTCTTCCCCTCCACATCCACTCGTCTTTCTTACATTCCTTCCTCTTGTTTTATTTCCACCCCTCAATTTCCTTACCCTTTTTTGTATCTCTGTTAATATACCACCTTTTGCGCTTCCCTTTACCTCTCGCCGCAGATTGGTTCTCTCTTATTTTCTCCCATTTTCTTCTATCCGTAATTCTAATCATATCCTTTTACAAGTCCCCATAATTAACGTCCTTACATTCTACCCCCACTACAATCCAGAACATAATTTTCTCCGCTTTAACTTCGTTTGTCCTGCTCCCACCAGTACTTTTTCTTTGTTACTCCATCTTTATTCTTCATCTTGTATCACTAATTTTCTGTATCCCCATCTTACTTTGTTTCCAATTTCAGCTTTCCTTCACCGCAACTTCCGTTCTTTCTGCAAATGTCAACTCGTCATCTATGTATTTCCGGCTCCTCTAATGATTTCCCTCTTCTTTTCCCATGTTAGTTCCATGATTACTATTGTTATGTCCCTCAACGTCTAGGATTTTTCTCTTCTCTTTTCCTCTATACTGTTCTGTTCTTTCCATCAGTTTTCATTTTTCTACCCATTACTCTTCGCTTCTCAACATTTCTTCCCTTAAATCTCCTATTTCCTCCGTCATCTTACCTTTTTGTTCCTTTGTTTCCTTAGCCGCCCTTTGCCCCCTCCATCATTTTCCCTATGTTTTCCTCTTCCCTTCGCTTTCTTCCCCTCTTTCAATTCCGCTTTCTCTCCTTAAATAGGACAAGTACAAATTGTGCACAACCCTTGTGCAGGTAAAGCGCATTTTTTTTAAACACCCCTACGAAACTTAAATAAGAAAGTTGGCACTGCGCATGCGCAAAACGAAATTTTGAAACTGGCGTTAAATTTGCTTTTATTCCAAGTGGCTATGTATCAGATTTTAATTAAATGCCCAATGGTTATATTTCTTCCAAACGTCCCAATCGCCCTCTTAAGATATAAGGAATTATAACTGATCACA